AAACGGGCTAAAAAATTTTTCATAACCCCACTTTTGATCGTAGAATCCAAAAATATGAAAAAACATGTATGTTAATTTCGAGCATTCCACTACAATTCTCGATGGGCTCGTGAAGCCTCTCTTAAGTGTTGTTTGCATACATATATGCATAGGTTTTATTTGCTTTTTGTTAATTCTCCTTGTTCTTCTTCGAAAGCATATTTCATAATAACAGAACAGAAAAATGAGTTATATTCAAATATGTACTGTAATCTTCTTCTCTGTTCTTTGTCAACAAATGTTATGATAAATAAAAAAATTACAGAACTTTCTACTTGTCAGTAGAGGATTGGTCAGTATTCTCAAATTACTTTCTAACGAACAAATTCAAGACAATAGACAGATACACAGGCTGATAGAGAATTTGAAGCGCTACCAGAATATACAGTCACTTTTTTGTAAAAAGGTATTTGTATAATGATGAAAAATTCAAAATATTAAGAGAGGCGACAAGGAAAAAATTCATTCAGTTAGAATCCGGTGATGAGGGTGCCTTCGTTTCGCTTCAAATTTCTTCTGGTGAATGAACGCAAGTTAAAATCCAAATACACAGGATGATAGAAAAATCCGAGCTCTTTCAGAATATGCCATTATTTCTAAAAAGATATCTTTTTTTCGTGACGATAAATCAAAAATACGGTGTATCACTATTTACTTCCAGGCGAATATAATACAATCTAAGTCTAGCGATTTTATGCCAAACTCGACTTACGTTTTTCATTTCACAGCTATATGTGACTCAAATTGGACCTTTTATGAAACTATTTATATTTTAATGTTTGTGTGCATAGACATTTATCTGGAAATGTGTAGAATAAAACTTTAAAGAGCATAGTATCATATTATAAAAAGAATATAGAAATGGCTTGAATTATGTAACAGATATTTACGTTTACTTTCCCGGCGGACTTTTGGGACACTCTGTATTATTCTTTTATTTTATTTCATTTTCTTTCTTTCCTTTCCCTTTTTTCTGTATGTGTTATGTAAAGCCCTGATGAGTGATATCTTAATAAAGATCACGAGACGCGTAGGCAATATACGTTTTATACATCATAGTATACTTAACACATACGTGAAAATCTAGTTGTTCCTTATTGTCGTCAATGTCGATTGCTGAAAAGCCAGAGCTGAGAACCAACTGATAGAGCTTGTATTCCATTGCAGGTCCGATCCGTCATTGTGAAAGGACAATTATGACATATACCGATCTGCGCGAGTTCTTTTCGACATCGACGAAAAAAGAAGTTCCTAAGAGAATCAAGTGGTCTATCACACAAGCCTGCGTCGAGTTCGCAGCTCTGGATGGTCCAGCTTTTGAAACAATTCAAAGAGATGGCTTCCAGAAGTTGGCGCAAGCATTGCTTGACGCTGGTCGCCTTCTTAGCAAGATATCTGTATCTGCCAAAGACGTCCTCCCACATCCCACAACGGTGAGACAACTTTCATACGCCCGAGACCCTCGCTAACACGATGGAATATGCCTTGTTCATTCAAGATTAGCAGAAGCGTCGACAGAGTTTACGACGCATCAAGGAGTCAGTTGGTGCAGATCTGCGGAAATCTGCGAAGCCTTTGCGTAGTGACGGACAGTTGGACCGAGGGCTACACAGGTGAGAATGTCACTCATTACATCTAGTCGAGAGCGAGACGTGAGAACATCGTGTCTTTTATTTGTCATACCTTAGGAGTCAACTACTGTGGCATCGCCCTGCGCTTTGTTGATGAAAGATTTCGATTACAATCGTTCATTCTTGGCTGCTACGTGTACGATGCGGTCACTCATTCGGCCCAACACTTTCGTGAATTTGTCGATCGAAAATTGTCGGAGTATAATCTGCAACTGGACTGGTCAAGATTTGTCGTTTCCGACAACGAATCAAAGATGATAGCTGCATTTCGAGACAAGTGCAAACGGGTGGGATGTTCAGATTACTATCTGAACAAGCAGCTACAACACGCGTTCGAATCAAGTGAAATTCGTGTCAGCAAAGCAACAATTGTACATGTCAATTGTGACGAAGCCCAATGTCTCTTCGGTCAAGTGAAGAAGATAGTCAGCAATGTTCATCGCTCACATCGTCAGCAGCAATTACCAATCAAGTTGCAGAGCTACAGCGAAACGAGATTCAACGGCGCGATGATCATGCTGGACGTTTTCCGTCAGGTGTTCGATCATCTGCCGGCTGCACTGTCA